CCCCTCACCGCCGCCTGGCCAGCGCTTCAAAGATGCGGCGGCGCAGACGGACGCCGACGCGTGGCCCGCGTGGGGCTCGGCCCCGTCGTTGCCGCTAACCGACCTGCTGAAGCAGCGGCTCGCCGCCACGCACCGCATGGCGAGAAACGGCCGCAGGCGCCGCGACGGCCTCATCCGCAGCCTCGGGCCTCCCGCCTACGCATACGCCACCCTGCACCAAACCATGGAGGTCAAGAAGACACACGCACTAACTCCCGCACTTTCACTCACTTGCTCACATTCACTCTTCTTTTGCTCACACAGCTCATCAGTAAAACAAAGGCGGCCAGAGTGTGCGAGACGCACACGTGATTGCTCGCCGCGGACGACCACTCTCAATTGGAAGATCATCATCGCCTTCCCGACTGAGCTGGGCCGACCGCTGTGAAGATTTCTTCATCGACCAACCGGGCCGGCCGGGTTCAGAGGGAGCCCCCCGCCTTTCCGAAGGTGGCTCCATCTTGTTCAATGGACTCGGATATCATTTGAACCCAACATCGTATCGTACAAGGTTGGGTCCAATGTTTGCGTTCAGAGACCCCGGGAAATAGCGGCGCTGCGCAAAAAGCGAACTTTATGCGGAGCCACCAACAACACACGCAAGCCAGCGGCTTAGAATGCAAAGATGCTCTTAAGTGAGTTTCCGCCCACATTTCCCACAATGCTGCGATCGCTTTCGACTCACCTACGTTAAGACGCAGCTGGCGGGCACGAGCGTTCAGCGGCGAGATGGAAATCCGCCCTTTTCAAGTGACGCTCGGAGATACATGATCACGGCAGAACAAAAGGTCAAGCGGAGCGGCAGCGTTGCCACACCATAACATGAGCAGAGTTGGCTTGTGGGAAGCGGCACCAAAATCAAATGTTAGCCAAGTGCCTCATTAAAAATTCAGACACACCCTCAGATGGCCACCTGTTTATTGATTTCGGGGGAAAAACAAAACAAAAAACAAAAAAGGCTGTCACCGCTGCTTGTGGTTGGTTGGACGGGGCTGGACGAAGGCACAAATGCCGGCATTGACGCGGGCCGTCAGTAGGGGTCGCTAAAGGGGTAATGAGGATGCCCGGCGTCGCGGGGAACGGGCTTCCCATCCACCTGAACAAGAAAAGGCCAAGGTGACGTCACTTTGCGACGCGCACCCGATGGTGGCAAAAGGAAGGCCTTCGTCAAGCTGCCCGTTTGCTTTTAGGGCCGATTGACGCACAAATACAATGGAACGATCAATAAGCGAAAATCCACATCTTACTGATCTCCATTCAGATGCAAATTTTTGGTAGGGGAAGGGGGGGGGGTGTATCTAAAACTACATGGGGTGCTGGTCGGCTTGTGCTTCTGAAAATAAAAGAATGGCAGTCTTCACTTGACACCAGAAATTTGCCCTCCTTATTGTTTTTACAAGAAAATAGTCTTAAACCGACCAATTTTGAGTGAGGAGAAGCGGATCCAAAAACGGATGGCTGACTCAATTTGAACAACGCGACAGGTTGTCGACGGCCATTGACATCGGGATGCCCGGGACGGAACCAAGGCAAGCCTCTTTCCGAGCGGCCAAATATTCTGGGCTCGAGTGTCCGCATACAGAAGGGGGGCGGGTGGGAGGAAAGTGCTGCGGCTGACTTACCTGAATGACGGGCAGGATGTAACGCCAGTTTTTGTTGAGCGCCGCCAGATCGCTCATCTCCTCCGCCGACAGCGTAAAGTCAAACACCTCCAGGAAAAAAAAAAAAATACGGTCGATCACTAAATAAATAATAATGATACATTTCCATCATCATCATCATCATTCAACGCACACAGCTGAATGTTTGTATATTTTCCATCTCAGATTCTGTTTGGACTATTTGTGCATTTCTTCTCAAAATCATATTCATCAATATTTATGTTCCGAACATTTGTCTATTTTTATATTTGTGCTTTTTTCCCCTGAACAGTGTATTATTTTTCCAACTCTCTTTTCTCCCATAGTCACTGTTATGTTTCCGAAACACGTGTGGATTTTTCATACGGAGTTGCATATTCTTTCGCATACGTCAAGCGTTGTGCGAAAGAAAAGCTTCTCTGCGCTTTCCTGGATTTGAAGCGACTCGAGTATTGGATCAAATAGTTTTGAGGTGCGAGGAGACGCGTGACTCCTCGCACCTCGCTCGTCGTGTCTGCAGCATTTTTGCGGGCGCACCGAGCGCAATGTCCATTTGGGGCGTGCGGAGCGCGGTGCCTACTTGCAGGTTTTGTCGGATGCGCGAGGGCGTGACGCTCTTGGGAAGGGTGACCACGCCGCGCTGCGTCTGCCACCTGCGCACAGGGGAAGCGCGCTCAGCTGCCAGGGCTGGACAGCGGGGCCCACAAAACAAAAGTCCCCCGCAAAATCGGCGGTGGGCAGAGGGGGACTGACCTGAGGAGGATCTGAGCGGGCGACTTTTGGTATTTGGCGGCCAAGGCGGCCAGGGCGGGCTCGTCCAGGAGCGCGGGCTCGTCGGGGCGCTTCCAGGCCCGGTCGGGGGAGCCCAGGGGGCTGTAGGCCGTCACGGCCACGCCCAGCGAGCGGCAGTGCGCCAGCAGCTCCGTCTGCGCCAGGTACGGGTGGCTCTCCACCTACACAATTTTTTTGAAATGCCGGCCATTATTCGCGTTGGTCCGGGTTGACGCCGATAAGCCGGGCCGGGATGCGGGCGGCACCCGACCTGCAGGACGGCGGGCTTGACGCGGGCGGCGGCCACGACCTCGTCCAGCTGGCGCTTGTTGAAGTTGGAGAGGCCGATGGCGCGCACCAGGCCTTTGGTCAGCAGCTGCTCCATGGCGCCCCAGGTGGCCCGGTAGTCCACCACGTCGTAGAGCAGCGAGCCGTCCCCGCCGGCCCTGGGGAACGCCTCTTCCCCGCGCCTGACAACCGACAACGACAAAAATGCAACGTCATAAAGTCAGACTCTTTCCCGATAGCCAACGGTGAACTGCGGACCTTTCTTTCACCTAAAGTGGAACCTTTTGCTCTCGGTGGGGCAAAAGGACCGGGCCGGCCCACCAACAGTCAAATACGGCTGGAAGTGATGCCCTTTTATTGCAAAACTGGGGGCATTTTTTTCCATGCTTTCTGTCATCATTTTTTCTGTTTTTCAGAGATTTTATTTCACTATTTTTCCCTGTTTTGGGATTTCACCCCCCACCCCCAGTCTTTTTTCAGTTTTTCTAAAAAATGTTTTTCTGAATATATTCCCCTGTTTAGGACTTTTTTTTCTGTTTTCAAATAACCCTTTTTTTCTCCATTATTCTGAATAATTTGTCCTGGGTTTTTTAAATATATATTGATTTGATTTTTAAATGTTTATTTTGGGGATCCTACATTTTTTTAATCGTTTTTGGACACATTTGTTCTGCTTTTTTTTTTTTTTAATAGAATAACCATGTTTTCCAATTTGTCTGAATAATCCTCCCTGTTTGAAAAAGAAAAAAAATATGTTTTTCTGATTGTACTTATTTTTATGTTTTTAGGATTTCCTTGTAGTTTTTATTTTGGTTTCCTGATTTTTTTTTTTTAGTTTTTTGAGGCAATTTTTTTTCCGGTTTTGGATTTCATAATAATAGAATATTATTTTTTCTGTGTTTTGGAAATAATGTTTTCCTGTTGTTCAGAATTTCCTTTTTTTTTGGGGGGGGGGGGGAGATTCCTCCCTTTTAGGGATATTTTTTCAGTTTTGCAGAATTACATTTTTTTTTCCTTCCCAAAAGAAGCCCCCGTTATTAAATACTTATTTCTGTTTTTCACAAAAAAAATTTCTTCTATTTTTTCAGTTTTTCTGAATAACTTGGGGGGGGGGTGAATTACATGAATGCATTCTTGTTTTTATTTGCAACACTTTTTTTCTGTGAGCTAGTGGTGGAATGTTGAGGGGAGGGCGTGTCGCGTTTTCCTTTGAGTGGCGGGGCTGCTGCCCAAGCGTTGCGTTTGTGTTTGCGTGGGAGTGACCGGAAGGCGTAGGGCCAGTGGATGAGGTAGAGGTCGAGGTAGTCGAGCCGGAGGTCGCGCAGGGTGCGCAGGAGGGCGGGCTCCACGTCCTCGGGGTGGTGGCACGTGTTCCACAATTTGGACGTGACGAACACGTCCTCCCGCCGCACGCCCTGACAAAAGGGACAAACTGAGCCAATGTCGGCTTTCCGCCGGCGCGCGCGCGCGATTGACTCACGTGCGGCTGCGCGAAGGTCTCGACGAGCGCCTGTCCGATCTCTGCCTCGTTGCCGTAGACGGCGGCGCAGTCGATGTGGCGGTAGCCCGCCTCCAGGGCGCACTTCACCGCGTCCTCCCGCCGCACGCCCTGACAAAAGGGACAAACTGAGCCAATGTCGGCTTTCCGCCGGCGCGCGCGCGCGATTGACTCACGTGCGGCTGCGCGAAGGTCTCGACGAGCGCCTGTCCGATCTCTGCCTCGTTGCCGTAGACGGCGGCGCAGTCGATGTGGCGGTAGCCCGCCTCCAGGGCGCACTTCACCGCTCTTTCACCTCACAGACACAAGGCGACCGAGCACAATGTCCTCCGTCAAGGGTTCCCGTGAAGCCGCCCATCCGACCCTCACGTGGAAAACAACGAAGACT